GCTGAGGAGGTAGATTAAATAAAGTTAGTATGACTGAAAAGAATGTGAATGAGGTAAAAAGAGTGAAAACTTCAAATCAATTTTATTCATATTCATGTTAGAGAACATTTCTGTAAATGAGTTTGCAAGAAAACATTTCCACAATAATGTAGGTACATGTTCCTTCTCTTCTGAAGATATACTTTATTTATTTTTTGAAATGAAATAATCACTCTTTATTCAAACTAAATAAGCCCTCTTTCTTACAGGGCAAATATGAAAGTAAGCTCTGCCCCTTGGCCTTTATGACAAAAATCACATTCAGAATATGTTCATTTATAAAAGAAAGATTTGTAGATTACTAAATAAGTCTAGAACTTCAATATACATTGTTTCTTTGGAAATAAAGACTAAAAGGAATACTTCATGTCAAAAAGTTGCAGGTTAGAAAACCATGTTCCTTCTGAGGCTCATTTTAGCAAACCCTCCCCATCGTTAAGGTGAAGAGCTATGTCCCCTGAGAAAGGGCCCTTCCCTACTCCCTCTATGCCAACATCAGCATCCCTGGAGAGGCACAGGTCCTCTGGTCCCCTTGCCCCAGCCCTTGCAGGAAGGAACCCCTGCTTGCCAGCCTGCCCGGACTCCCTTGGCTCAGCTGTGCCGCAGTGGAGGGGAAGCCTCCTTAGCAGCCAAAGTGCTCAAGCACTACATTTTCCAGTGTTCCCCAGACCCACAATGTGCTCAGGGCCAAAGCTCTACCAGCAGGCTTCTAGGAAAGGTTTCTGCCAGAGGATCTTCGTGCCAGTTGAATGGAATCCACTGCTCTGAAGGCCTGCAACCACTGCTTCGTTGCCCACAATACACAGACACATGGGAAAGAACTCTTTCCTTATAAATTCAAGTTTGTCATCTGAGAGGCTGAGGCCTCCAGGGATTCTTCCAGCTCTAGGGCACAGAGACTGTATGCTTCCAGATCCTTTCTCCAGATTTCAACCTAGTGGGGGTCTTCTCCAGAGGGGCCAAGGGGATGTTCTCAGCAGAGCTGCTGGGGCCCTCTGAGGTGGGCTGGGAGGTGTCTGAGGCGTGGGACCCTCTGCTAGCTCATATTGCACATTCTCGAGCATGGTCTTGTACGCCTGCTGGGCTGCCATCTTGTGGAACTGGTCCTGCGCTCCATCGTAGCTGAAGATCCCCACAACGCTGACAGGTACGGTTTTGTTCAAACTGTGCCCCAGAGCCTTGCGATTGAGAGCAAACACAAAGGGAATGTTCTGCGCATGGGCGTAATCGATAATGGTGTGCAGAGTGTCGTCCAGCCCACCTTTTGACTGTATCTTCTCACAGCTGGGAGAAATGATGATGCATTTCAGCTTCCTGAGCTTTAGGTGTTTGAGAACTTCTCTCAGCCCCAGCACAAGCTGGCATTTGGTCTTAGCCTTGACTGGATCTTTTTGGTACATATGGTCTTGGAAGCGGACTAGTTCCTTGAGTAGGTCCGTGACACAGGCATCCACTTCTGTACTGAGCATCTGGGTGCAGTAATCTCGGAGTCTTCGGCTGTGGATCTTGGGGAAGCTGGCTTGGTCAGGCTCAGGCTGTCAGGCCTCTTCATCCTTTTGGAGCTCTGCACCAAGTGGCTCTTCTGGTTGGTCCTCAACTGCAGGAATGGAGGAGGCCAATTCTTCTGTTCCCCCTGAAACTGTGGGACTAGCCTGGTTGGTGACCTGCTCCTCAGCACTGATCTCTGCCCCCTGTGCCTCATCACTGGCAATAGCTGGGCTCATAGCATTTTCTCGGAGTCTCTGTTGCTTTCTCTCTTCCCATTCTTTCAAAACAATCTTCTTCAGTGAGGTGGGCTTCTTGGCCTTGGGGACCTCCCTCTGCTTCCCCTTCTTTATCAGTGGGGCGCTAGAGTCCAAGGGGTTGTGTGTTGTCTTCATCTGACTGAAGTGATGGCCCCTCTCCCCAGAGCTGGCTTCTTTGGAAAGGACAGGCACTGCTCCAACTGAGAACACAAATGGTCTGGAGGACTGCTTGGCCTGCTGGGCATGCTGCTGTTTCTCCAGTGCTGCCAGCAAGCCTCCCAAATCCAACTCACTGGAATCTGGCTTTTCTTTCCACTGTTTTTAAAATTGTTCTGTGGCTGCTGTTTAGATTGAAATTTCGGTGACTCTACTCTGAAGATATACTTTAAACATGTAAGATTGACTTATTAAAAAGACCAGTAAGGCAAGTGCAACATGTTCTTGCTCATCTGTGTATCAGAGACTCCCTTGGTGGGTTCCAGTCTCCTGCTCAGTGCTATGAGGCAAGGTTAAAAGAAAAACTCAAATGCAGAATTAAGGAGACAGAGAAATGCGGAGTCAGGATGACCAGTGCTTGTGCAAGCAAGGCTGAACAAGCAAAGGCCCTGAACACCCAGAGCTGTTGATATTTATTGGTGACACCATAGTTAGATTGAGGAAAAGGGGCTACTTGCAGGATGTATAGTTGCTATGGACATGTTACTGATGCAGGAAAGGTTTGTAAAGGAAAAGACAAAGCATTCTTGAATTAGGAACAGAACAGACAAAATATAGGTTGTGGTTAATAATTAACCTTGTCTTTAAGCAAAGGTTTTAACTCTGGGAACGGAATTTGGGTGAGAGTCACTCTGACCTCAGCACATAGGCTTCAGCCAGACTTGCTTCTTAAAGCAAACCAATTGTAGGGTTAACTCTTAACAGCCTGAAGTGCTGACAGCCTGCTATGGGCATAATCAATAGGGTGGTCCACCAAATCTGTGAATGCTAATGAAATTGATTCCATAAAAATTGAGAGTAGAATAATGTTCAGTAGAAATTAGGAAGGGTAGTCAGGAGAGAGAGGGACAGAGGGAGTTTGGATAGTGGGAACCAAACTATAGCTCCATAAGAGGACTGCGTTCTAATGTTCTAAAGCACAGCAGAATGACTGCAGTTCACAATAATTTATTATACATTTTATAAAAAGCTAGGGAATTAAAGATCCAATCAAAAATGGGCATCTACAATGAATAGACACTTCACAGGTGAAGAAGTACAAACAGCAAATAAATATAAGAAAAAATGTTCAACATTTAATTTGTCATTTGAGGAATGCAAATCAAAACAACACTGTAATTCCATCTCACTCCAGAAAGAATGGCTATCATCAAGAAATCAACCTTTCAGTTTCTCACAGTAGAGGGGTAGGGGTGGTGGGAGGGGAAGGGGAAAGGAAAGAAAGGAAAGGAAAAATTATGAGAAAAGGGAAAAATGGAAACAAAGTCTATGTAAATATGGAAGGGTGGAGGGGTGAAGGGCACACAGGTAATGGGGAAAAAATAAGAACCAAGATACATCATGTACAGGTACAAGCACCCAATGATAAATGTAAATGTATTGTATACTGAAAATGTACCAATAAAATAATTTAAGAAAAAAAAGAAATCAACCAATAAAAAATCCTGGCAAGGATGTGGGGGGAAAAAGAAACACTTTTCTGTTGTTGTTGGGGATGTAAATTGGTACACCCACTATGGAAACCAGTATGGAGATTCCTCAAAAAACTAAAACTAGAGGTTCCATTTGACCCAGTTATTCCCCTTGTAGGTATCTTCCCAAAAGAGTTAAAGGGATCATGCCACAGTGATACATGCATAGCCATGTTTACAGCAGCACAGTTTATAATAGCTAAATCTTGGAAACAGCCCATATGCCCATCAACAGATGAATGGATAAAGAAAATGTGGCCTTTATATACAATGGAATACTACTCTGCTATAAAGGATAAACTTGAGACATTCTTAGGTAAATGGATGTATCTCAAGACCATAATTTTAAGTGAAATAACACACATAAGTTTAAATATTGTATTGTTTCTTTTGTGTGAGAAGGAGCAAAATGGAGGATATATAATGAAAAGTAGGAAGAACGTTCAATTTGGAAGGGGAACAAGGGAGGGGGTAAGGGGAAGGGAAGGATATAAAAGGGATTAAAAAAGAGAATGGAAGGGCAAAATGGAAAAACCTTTTGTAAATGGGGAGGGGAAGAAGACTTGAAAGGAGGGGAGGGGAATGTATATATATATATTCATCATAGGGAATTTGTACCTGCATACGTATGGTACAAATTCCTTATGATGAATGTGATCATTATGTTTGCCTAACGTGAATGTTCTAATAAAAATTTTTTAAAAACAGTAGCAGATACCTCTGCCCAGTATTAGCAGACTCTGGTTAATCGCAACTCATTCCCAGCACCCTTTGATCTCTCCAAGCAAGACAAGCAGTGCCTTCCCCCTTTACAGCCCTGTTTGCATATCACCTATTGCCAGATGTTTCCAGATGCTTCACACTATATTGCTAGATGTCTTCAGAACATACCCTGCTCACTTTTTTACCACACTTGTAATCAATAAGTACTGGGTGTCCTTGGCCCACTTTGTCTTTGGTGCCTAGAGCAGCATAGATTGCCCCAAGGCCCAGTTCTCTGTGTCTTATTTCTTCTTATTCTTGTTAGCTTGTGTTTGTATTGCCTCTTAGGAGACTGCAGACCCACTGCAGGTGTCTATGATAATGCCCTCATTCCTGTTTCCTACAAAAAAACTATAAAAAGCTAGAGAATCTTCAACATTCAAAGAAATAAGAAATGATTCAGAAGATGGAAATGCTAATTCCTCTGATTTGATGATCACATATTGTATACGTGTACAGCATTGTCACACCATACTCAATCAATATGTATAACTGTTATGCCTCAGTGAAATACATAAAAAAATAAAATTCCCAAAACATTTCTACAGATAACTGAGAAAAAGCCTTGTTGTATTCATAGAAAGTTAAAGTAGGTTAGACAGCAAAAAAGGTGATCTAATGCATAACTTATGAACAGTGCCTAGGGTAGGAAAGACCCCAAATGAAGATGCAAAGAGTGACTTACTTTAAAATGAAGGAAAGCAGAAGGAAACAGGGTATTTGATGAAGATCAGGCTCTCTGATCCTCACTGTGGATTGCAGCTCATCAGAGTCCTGCCATGGCCTTTTCACCGAGAAGCTCCATCTTGCTGAGGAGTCTCCCCAGAGCACCCTGTATGTCCCTGTTCCTCAGACTGTAGATGAAGGGATTCAGCATGGGGGTGACCATGGTGTACACCAAGGAGGGGATCAGACTCATCTTAGAGGATGGTGTGGCTACTGACCTGAGGTAGACCCCAAGGCCTGTGCCATAGAACAAGGAGAGGACCAAGAGGTGAGATGCACAGGTGGAAAAGGCTTTGTATTTGCCCCCTGCTGATGAGATTCTCAGAATGGAGAAGAAAATCTGAGAATAAGAGAAAAGAATCCCAGTAAGAGGAAAAACAGCTAGGACGATGGTCACAGAATACACCACTATGTTATTAAGGAGGGTGTCAGAACTTGCAAGCTTCAGGACTTCAGGGGGATCACAAAAGAAGTGGGGGATTTCTGTGTTTTTACAAAAGGAGAGTGTGAGAACAGTCAAAGTCTCTGGTAGTGATCCCATGAGACTGATCAACCAGGACCCCAGAGCCATCAGCCCACAGAACCGTGGGGTCATAATGACCACATAGTACAGTGGGTGACAGATGGCCACGAAGCGGTCATAGGCCATCACTGTCAGTAGTAAATTTTCCAGGCACCCAAACACAATGAAGAAAAATATTTGTGTGATGCAGCCTGCAAAGGTGATTGCTTTGTTCTGAGTCTGAATGTTCACCAGTGTCTTTGGAACAGTGGTGGAGGTGAAACCGATGTCAGCAAAGGACAGGTTGGAGAGGAAGAAGTACATGGGGGTGTGGAGGTGAGAGTCTGAGATGATGGCCAGGATGATGAGCAGGTTCCCTGTAATGGTGACCAGGTACATGGGCAGGAGCAGCCCAAAGAGGAGGGACTGCAGGCCAGGGTCATCTGTGAATCCCAGCAGGAGGAAGTTGGTGACTCCTGTTTCATTTCCTGTTTCCATGAGGCTGCCAAATTTACCCATGAGGAGGCAAAAAGAAAAACAAAATTCATTCTAAAGGGATTCCCCAGGATGACCGTAATAGCTGTTATTCAAATTCATTGAACTCAATAAATTATTCATTTTGGCTGATTTTGGCTCATTGGATGTCTTTGCTGGCAAGTTGTAGTTACCATTGCGACCTGAAAAAAATCAGCTTTAGGTCAGTGGTTCTCTAATGGTGTTCTCTGGAACAGCAATATGAGCATATTTATGGAACTTGTTAGAAATGTGCATTTTTAGGCTCTCCTGACCAACCTGCTCCCACACTCTGGGTCTAAACAATCTCTCTTGGGATTCTGGTGCACACACACAAACACACACACACACACACACACGTACACTTGGGAAACAGGCTCCAGTGTTTGTCTACATGTCTAAGCAATCTTTTCTTTTGTAGCATCCCTGGTGATTGCTCTGGTATGTTCTGACTAATGCATTTAGGAATGAGAATTTCCTAATTCAAGGCAGATTCATCAGTCATTGGAAAGGTCTTTGTTTTATTATGCTGGCTTTTTGCAATTTTTACCTGACTCATTCTCTGTTCTTTGGGTGGTTCTTCTGTAGATAATGTTAACAACCTCTCTTATTAGTAACTCCCTTTTCCATTTCGTTTTAATTACCACATTCCCAACCTAAAATGAGACAACCTGGATTTGTTAAGTAACATATCCTAAAGTTTCTAAACGTAAAATGGAAAGTTACATTTTCTACCATATGATAATCATAGGATCAAAGTTACCACCATATGGAAACGGCTCTTTATACGTGCCTATTTTGGATATTTACTTTCTTGTTAAATTTTATTTATGATGAATACATTTTGGGTTAATTTTAATTTTATGTTTTCTTCTCCTAGGTAATCAGTAAATGGCCTCTGTCAGCTTTTCAAAATTCAGACATTGTATTTCATTCTTCACATTCTTATTAATAAATGATTATAAATGATTATGTCAATAGTAACAAACTTTCAGACCTTTTTTCATGTTTTAAAATCATTTATCTTCATAATAAAATTAAAAGTTGTATGTGAAATACACCTAGTATTATTTAACACTATCATTATTTTATTCCTGGCAACAATTTCTTCTTTGGATGAATTTTAGGATCTCTAGTCATGTTGAAAGAAAAATACTATTAGAATTTTATTTTATAAATTAATTAGGAAAAATCTGACCTCTTTACTATGCTCACATTCTCTTTGCAATAACAGATATTTCCCTCTAGATTTCTCAATCCCCTTTTGAGTATGCTTTCTTGAAGTATTTTTTAAACTTGTACATTATATTAATTTCTTGTTATGAATTTTTTAGTACAATTTATATTTGATGTCATGAAGAATGATACTCCTCCATATTATATCTCTGCTATTGCTAGTATATTAATAAAAGTTTTGATTTTCTGTATTGATGAAGTGTCTTGTTTTACTTCTGTTTCTTTATTAATTTAACAATTTCCTATAAATTTCTAATAATATTAATTTATGACACTTTTTCTTAGGTTTTGGTGAATTGTTTCAAAATTCCAGATCCTTGTTAAAATGTATAGTGAGGTTTGGAATTTCTATTTTTCATTCTTACTTTCAAAGAGGATAACCCTAGAATTTTGTAATGTAATATGAGCCCCACTATCATATTAAATATGAAATTTAAAAAACCATATTAACTTATATTTTTTGTTTCCTGGTATTTTTTTTTGTTTCCTTGTACTTTAGAGGCAATTTGTAAAGCTATGAATAAGTATTTAATGATTAGTTAAATATTTAGAAAAATGATATTATACTAATCTCTATAATGGAAATAATTTTGAAACATTAGATGTAGAACAAGACAGTACATCAGCTCTCTGAAAGAAACATAAAGAAATAAATAGTATATACTTAAACTTGGCAACATATTCTTTGAAAATACCAGTGATTTCCTGAAAAAAGTTTTGGGTAAAAATAAGAAAAATAAAAATCAGTAATAAGAGTTATAAACTAAAAAAATTGTCAATGAAAACATTTGTTGGAGAACATCAGAATGCAAGAATAATGTATTTGGTGATAGAGGTTAATAACTTTGATTTACAAAGCCTGCATGACAAAGTGTAGACCAATGTACTGCTGTAGAAAAGGCACAGCATATTAAATATTCATAAAAGAAATGTATAAGAGTAGTAGATGTTTGACACTTTGGATGGAGGAGAATGAAGGCACTTGTAATGGCTTAGGAAAAATGACAAGATCTTGGATAAGAAATGCTTAAGAGATGCTGATGCTAAGGGAAGGTCAATGTCCATTAGGAAGGTAGAGAGCTTCAGAATTGGCTTCTAGAAGCAAGAGGAAGCAATCTGAGAAGAAGCTGAGAGGAAGAGAAACCAAGAGGGATTCTAACTGCTTAGAATTCCTTTGATGGACTCACATTGCTTTGTTTTTATTTATCATCTTTTGAGAGCTCTGCCTGCCTCCATACCTGCTGCCCACATCAGGAATTCCTGATGATCCTCTGTTCTTTAGGTGACTTGGGTTCAACTCAGCACCAAGTTTGACAGGGATGTGGCATCAGGCATAAGTCCTCTGCAACGTACAGTGGAACTCACCCTTTCCTGACACAGTAGAGCTAGCTGAGTGGATGATGGAGGTGTACTTACTATTTTCACAGCCTCAGAAATTACATTCTAATGAACGCTCATTAAGGTAATTATCCCATTGTTACTCTATTCTCTGAGCACTTAGGTTCCCATGAGTGAGGTAACCAAAATAGAACGATATTTTTGTGTGTTGGTAGTTTCATATCTTTGGGATTATTTTGTTTTGCAAGATATACATTTCCCTTTCCCTGGGCTCTTTGTTCACGATGTTACTTTTCTCTGGACTCCATCTCCTCTGTTCATCTTTCTCCATGAGCATTTCCTCACATATGAAACAGAGTTTCTTTATCCATCAATGATGTGAACAGGCGCAGTTTTCAAGACTGTGTAAATCCTGAGTATCTTCACTTAAAGCTGAAGACAGGGATTACATCCAACTGCACATAAAAGTTTGCCAATGATGTCAAATATATCCTCAAGGTTAAAGGTGCAGTATACATGCAGTTCCAGGCATGTGGTTAGAGAAGAACTGTGAGAGCTGGGTTAGTTGGCTGTCCAGGCAGCCCTCTGCAGGTATCTGCAGCTTTGCAAGTTTAAATCTAGCTCACTGGTTGGCCTTCAATATTCCAGCCCAGAAATAAAGAGTATCTTTAACAATTTACAAGGCGTTGCTTTTACAGCCTGTTGTGGTTTGGACTTGGAATGTCCTCCCAAAGGCTAATGAGTTTAGAAGTGGGGCTTGTGGAGGGTGATCAGATTGTGAGGCACTACAGATGGCTTGCTTTTAGGAGGCAGGGCTAGATTTGAGGCTGGTCATAGGAGATGTGACCTGGAAGAGTATGTCTCCCTCCTTGGCTCCTCCTTCCTCTCTCTTTCTGGTGACCATGGTGTGAGCAGCTTCCCACCATACCCTTTCTGCCTTGGAGCAGATTGACTATGAACTGAAAATGTGAACAAAAATAAACTTCTCCTTCCTTAAGTTTATATGTGTCTAGTATTGTGAGATCATAAGAAGAAAGTGGTAAATCACAGCCCAAATCACATTTTATTAAAGCAGTTCAAGAAGATGAGAACAACTGGACACAAAGCATCTCTTTTTGATAGGCTATCTTTAGCTTAAAGAAGTAATCAGTGGGATGAGACCTTTATTACCCAAAGGGAAACCCTACCATGGAGCTCACAATGCTCATGCATTCATACCTGATCAGTGCTTTATGCCTCAGTTGACTTCTCACATTTCCACCTCTCGGGAATGGGTGACATTTCTTGCTTACAATTGGAAAAGAGGCATCAGCTGCTACAAAACATATTCTGGGGAACAGGCTTGTGAAATTCATTGTTGGACATAGAGAAAGAAAATTGTTGAGGACATTGGAGAGAATCATGTGCAGGGACTTGTATTTGAGAGCAATGGTTACCTAGTATTTCTGTTGTCATCTATCAGGAATGTTGCTCTTTGGATAGCTGATTAGTGTTTATTTTGTTAGTGTCTTGACTCTTGTGATTAATACACTCTATCTCCTTTCTTTTGTCTATCTTCTCTTTGTCCTTCTTCTGTCTTAAACATTCGACTCCACTTTAACATTGCTCAATTAACATTGTGCATGGCCTTATGGTCCATGATAATGACATGTAAACATGTTTTTAGGAAGAGAAGTAGATGTTTTATAGAGGAAGGCAGGAGCATCTCATGTGGACTCTTTTAGGACACTGGGGATTCTATGTGTTTTCATCTTATTGAAAGTGGATTGTTGAGTGGAGGAATTATTGAACAGACCTCTATTTTTTTTTTTTTGATACCAGAGATTGAACTCGGGACCTTGCACTTGTGAGGCAGGCAGCAGAACCACTGAGCTGAATCCCTGGCCCAGACCTCTATTTTTAAAGATCATTCAGGCATGGCAAGAACAATATAGTGAAGGAGATGGCACTTTAATCACCCCAGAGAAATCCATAGAGACAGCTATTGATAAACCTGAAAAATGCCAAAGAGGATTAAGAGCCCCATTAAATAATCTGAATCAAGTGGAGCATAAAAGGATAATATTTATATTGAAAGATTGCTGGTGAAGCCTATACACCTAAGATAATAAGTGATATTGTTTGGCTCTTAAATGGCCCCCAAAGGCTCATGAGTTGAAGCTTGGTCCCCAGCTGACAGTGCTATTGGGAGGTAATGGGTCCTTGAGGATGTGGGTGCCTGAGGATGTGGAAGATTGTAGGAAGTAGAGTGGCACCTCAGTTCATGAACGCTTTTGTTTGTAAACAATTTGGTTCACAAACAGAAGCCTTTGGCAAAATTTTCTTTTTGTTTGCAAACTGCACAGGGTGACAAACGTGATTGTGACCACCTTTCTCACATAATCACAAATGTGGCCATCTTTTTCAAAATC